AACTATTCAAAAGAACTATCAGAAATATGAGGAATAAAATGGTCATGATGAACATTGTGTAGTTTTTGGTTTTATCCTTCTCCAAAGAAGCTAAATTTAAAAATCGTATGGACTCCTAAGTCCAAATATTTATTTTGTATCTTTGTTGGTAGTGTGTACATCATTGTCTAGAAATGTAATTACAAGCTTTCGTGCAACATAGGTGAGCTTTCAAATCTGTTTCCTTTCCATAGCATAATTACTTTAAATAATCATATTTTCCATAAAATATCACTTAGGTAAATTGAAAATATTTTTGAAACTGGTGGTGGTGGGAAATTTGAGAAGACTTGAAAGGATTCTAGAAGATACTTGTTCTTTAATTAGAATAACTTATGTATTGTCCAGGTTGAGGATTTTTGATTTGAAGTCTCAGAAATATATTATGAGAATGCCAAATATTACAGGGGAGGAAAGGAAACAAAGAAAGGAGTTGTATTATGTTAAATCTGATCTTCACAAAATAAAAGCATTCTCAGCCCTGTGAAAACTCAATTGTTTAGATTTCTCATTGAAAGACTGCAGAGTGCCACGCCAGTAAGTTTCAATGCTACCCTTGAGAGTGAAAAAGGACTCTTGAATTGAAGAGACAGTTCCTGATTTCGTTACAGCCTGACAAACTCTTAATAATTCTATACACAGGATGTCGGGGTTACGTGTGCTGATTTTTATGAACTAAGACTTGAAAGTACTTCGGCCAAGTGAACAAAAATTGATTTCATTTTATTTGAACTTCAAGGAGGACCCTGTTGGCCAAATGGATTTACTTTGTAGCATAGCTATTTCATTAACTGCCTTTTAAAAACCCAAACACAATGCTGCGTTTGTGAGTGACACATGGCATTTATTTGCTGAAATCATTACAAAGGCTGCCAACATCAATGGGCACGTTCAACTTAATTCAGAAATGACTCTGCGTTCACTTTAATACAGAAATCACTGAATTCTCTAAAACTCTGGTGAAGAAAATAAAGTAGTATTAGCCTTTGAATACTGGGACCAAACCTGGCCTGCTGCCTCTTTGTGTATGGCAGGGGTCTTCAAATGTGACAGCTTTAAGGCTAGTGGACTTCAACTCCCAGAATTCCTCCTCCAGTCATGTTAGCTCGGGAATTCTGGGAGTTGAAGTCCACTAGCCTTAAAGCTGTCAGATTTGAAGACCCTTGATGTATGGACTGGGAGATAAGATGGGTGGACAGGGGGCAGATCACCAGGCCCTGAGCTCCTGCAGACTGAGGGCTAGCAGGGGCTGAATGACCTCAGCAACAGTATAGCCTATCAGAAGTCTCCTTGCTGGTGATTCAAAAAGTGAATGGCAATTTAGCATCACCTGGACTGCAAAGAGATCAAGTCAGTCAATTCTTAAAGCTAAATCAACCCTGACTGTTCTTTGAAAGGACAGGTACTGAAACTGAAGCTGAACTACTTTGGCCACCTAATGAAAAGAGAGGACTCCTTGGAAAAGACCCTGATATTGGGGAAGGATGAAAGCAAAAGGAGAAGAGGACCTCAGAGGAGAAAATAGTAATAGCACTTCAACTTAGCACTTCGACTTATATGCCGCTTTACAGTGCTTTACAGGCCCTCTCTAAATGATTTACAGAGTCGGCATATTGCCCCCCAACAATCTGGGTCCTCATTTTACCCACCTCAGAAGGATGGAAGGCTGAGTCAAGATGGTTAGATAATGTCATCAATGCAATGAACATGAATTTGAGCAAGTTCAGGGAGACAGTGGAGGACTCGGCTTGCTATGGTCCATGGGTTGTGAAGAGTTGGACATGACTTAGTGGACTGAACAACAGCCGTTGTGGTCAGGAAGGTCTTTGCCCAATTTCATGATGTACATCCAGGGGTGGGATTCTACCAGTTCACACCTATTCACTAGAACCGGTTGTTAACATTCTAAGCATTTCGGAGAGCCGGTTGTTAGAAGAAATTACTGGCCTAATCCTGTAAGGAAGGCAGGAAGGAAACATTCTGGTGTTGCTTACAGAAACTACCTCTCCATTAACCTTTATTACATTCTTGGCAGGAACTGCCTCAGGAACTTCTCTGGAGTTTTTTTTTCACCTCCCTTGCTGGTACTTTGCTTGTGTAGAGTGGCCATTGAAAAAGTGACTTATGACCATTTTTCACACTTACGACTGTTGCAGCATCCCCACAGTCACGAGAGGCCAGGTGAGGAAATGCGTGCCTCAATGTGAGTGTTGTTGAGTTGGCCATGCCCGGCCAGTAACATGACCACCAAGCCATGTCCATTCACATAACCACCAAGCCACGCCCGCCAACTAAGCCATGCCCACAGAACCTGTTGTTAAAAAATTTGAATCCCACCCCTGTGTACATCACTTGTCTCCACTCCTGGGTTGGGAAGTCCTACTCTCAATTACTTATGCCCTAGTAACCTTTCAAGTGGATTATGGTAACATGCTTTACTTTGAGCTACCCTTGACGATTATCTGGAAGCTTCAAAACGCAGCAGCAATGGGCAGTTATGTATGTTTCAAGAACTGCACATGTTACATCGCTGCTTCACAAACTACATCGGCTGTCAGGTTGTTTCCAGCTCCAATTCAAGGTGCTGGTGATGACCTTTAAAGCCCTCCATGGCATGGGGCCCAGATTATTTCTCTCCCTGATTGCATCTAGCCATCCTATCAGATACAACAGAAGGGACAGGTGCTGTCAGCTAAGGAGCACGGTTAGGTAGGATCCAGAAACAGTCTTTTCTTTCCATCTTCTGGAATATCATACCCTCCCAACTGGGTGAAATTTCCCCAAAATTCCAGCTTTCTGGAAGGCACTCAACAATTGGATGTGCCATCAGACTTGAAGTTCCCAAGGAAGCATGGAGTCAATTTTAATGGTCATACTGCATATAGGTAGAGTCTATCCTCTATCTTTTTATTGTACTTTTAATGTAGCTTTTAATTTTTAATTGCTTTTAATGACAAAAGAGTAGGATTTGTCCGGTCAACTGCAAGTGAGATGGGCAGCCATATACATTTAATGAATTAATTAGTGCAATTGTGCAAATAGTGCAATTAGTGCAAAATCTTCAAGAGACCTGATTGTATGAACTCTGCTAGACAGCACAAGGAGCTGTAGAGGAAAGTGAGAAAAAGCTAATTTTCATTCATTTAGAGTGGCTGGAGCTATCCTACTTTAATCGACAAAACAAATGAAGCTGATTAAATCCCATTGCTTGCACCCGGGATGAAATCATGTATTCTGTACACAATACAGGTAGTCCTCCACTTACAACCACAACTGAGCCCAACGTTTCTGTTCTTGAGTGAGTCATTTGTTTAGAGATTTTTGGCCCATTTTAAGACCTTCCTTGCCACTGTTGTTAAATGGATCACTGCAGTTGATAACCCAGTTGTTAAGTAAATCTGGTTTTCCCATTGACTTTATTTGTGAGAAGGTCACACAAGATGATCACATGTTCTGGGGATAGAGCGATGGTCATAAGTATGAACCAGTTGCCAAGCATCTGAATTCTGACCACGTGATCGTGGGGATGCTGCAAAAGTCATAACTGTGAAAAATGGTCCTAAGTTCTTTTTTTTCAGTGCCATTATAACTTTGAATGGTCACTAAATGAACTGTTGTAAGTCGAGAACTACCCATATACAACAGTGTAGCATTCTACTACTCTTTTTTAACCAAAAACCCCTCAAAACTCCAGTGGTCGAATTTGTGTTGAAACTTCTGTGTATCAGGAAATGGAATAAAATACATCCAACCATGTCCCAGATATATATACATATTCAAAGCCTATACAAAGGCAAATTTAAGTTTTTGTTGCATTCTTAAAGAGATGTATGTATGTATGTATGTAT